GGTGTCCCGGTCATGTTGTGATGGTGTCCCGGTCATGTTTTGATGGTGTCCCGGTCGTGTTGTGATGGTGTCCTGGTCATGTTTTGTTGAGTTCGTGGAGCTCAGGTCCTACGCCGCGGGAAGGAGCTTGCTGCGCATCAATCATCTCTCCAGTCACAGCAAGAGAGATTGCGTTGATCAACGGCTTTGGGCAACGGTAAGTGACGTTCAGCCGCACTTCTGAAGCTCCCGCCAATACAGCCGCCTGCAACGCCCCTGTGAAGAGAGCCGTCCGCATACGCACCTCCGAAGCGACGTAAGGCTTGCGCTGGTACGCATCGCCAACGAGAATCGCTCGGCGTGCCCCAGGCTTCTGTCCGACATGCCAAACTGCCAGGCACTGGCCAACAGTTTCTGCTGCGGCTTCGTCAAGCAATATAGCTTGGAAGACACCAGTAGCTTTGTTTGGATTCAAAGCAGATCCTGAAGTCATCACAACAATTCTTGCGCTCAAAGATCCGTTGATCTGTCCGTCTTCGGAGTAGTAGCACAATGTGACTCCAGGAAAGTTTGGTACGAGTTGCCGCAGCCGAGCTTAGGACAGCCACCGCTTTCCAGCTTGGTGCAGTCACCAAAACTCGTTGATTGCCAACGAAATTGCAAGCGCCACCAGTATTGCGGACTTTCCTGTGGGGAGCAAAGCTCGCCCGCGGTGTAGTCAACATCGAGTTGACCGGGGAGCTCTGCCATGCCCTCCGAAGGTCAATCTTAAGCGACCTGGGAAAACCACGGACCAAAACTGTTCAGCGTTCGTGCACCCTTAACGTACCCAAATCAATTAGCAAGGGCAAACCAACTTAGATCTAGAAACCACGAAAGGGAGACAAACAAACCCAAAAGAACAAACAAACGCCTTAAAGGGCCAGTCGCAAAAGGACCACTCCTCCCGGACGGCCTCACGCAGTGGACAAAACCACGGCAAAAACAAGGAACCAGACTGAATACCGATCAGCGCTTCTTGGGGCGGCTGGCACCTGCATCAGCCGCCAAAACACTGCCCTGACTTTGGCAGACCGCTTACCATGACCTTTGGCCCGAACCTGCCACGAAATCTGCACTTCCAGGTTCACACAGGGCCACGAAATCTGCACTTCCGGGTTCACAAAGCGCTGTGCCTGCTATGAAATCTGCGCTTCGAGGTTCACACTTCGATAGTCACAAAGTGCTGTGCCTGCCACGATATCTGCACTTCGATGTTCACAAAGCGCTGTGCCTGCTACAAAATCTGCACTTCGATGTTCACAAAGTGCTGTGCCTGCCACCAAATCTGCACCTCCAGGTTCACAAAGCGCCGTGCCTGCCACGAAATCTGCACTTTGATGTTCGCAAGGTGCTGTGCCTGCCACGAAATCTACACTTCCAGGTTCACAAAGTGCTGTGCCTGCTACGAAATCTGCGCTTCGAGGTTCACAAAGTGCTGTGCCTGCCACGAAATCTGCACTTGGATGTTCACAAAGCGCTGTGCCTGCCACGAAATCTGCACTTCGATGTTCACAAAGTGCTGTGCCTGCCACGAAATCTGCACTTCGAGGTTCACAAAGTGTGCCTGCCACGAAATCTGCACTTTGATGTTCGCAAAGTGCTGTGCCTGCAACGAAATCTGCATTTCTAGGTTCACGAAGTGCTGTGCCTGCTACGAAATCTGCGCTTCGAGGTTCACAAAGTGCTGTGCCCGCCACGAAATCTGCATTTGGATGTTCGCAAACTAAAAAGAAATCGTTGACCCGTCTACCGAGTCGTATACAATGCAGCAACCGTTGCGAGAGTTGATCAAATGGCACCGCACCTCTCGCGGTGCCGCTACCTCCTCCTCATCATCCGGGATATGATCCGAGCCATGATCTGCATGATCCGAGCCATGATCTGCAAGACCCCGTGAGTCGTACGCATCAATCGTCGTGTTTTTTTGGTGTTATTTAGGTCAAATAGGTGGAAGAGCTACCAAGATGTTGAGAATCGGACCACGTGGCCACAATGCAAATAGCACCCACCAAGGCAATTGAATTTTGAGTCATGTTGTCCTTTTTATGTGTTTTCAAGAAGCATTTTTGCGAAATTGCTGTCTTTTTGCGTTGTGGCAAAATAAAAGCAAAGGGAATCGGTCCGCAAAATTAGAAAGCACCCTCATCGACGCGTCAGCAAAACTAAAAATTTGCAAAAATTGGGTTCGCAACCCGTGTCGGCAAATTTTGTAATTTTTTGCGGGTCGGATTTTTCATCCTTTTTTTGTAACTTTTTCGCGGGTCGTGCTTTTTGTTTTGTTTCTCTTTCTTTTTTCGCGGGTCGTATTTTTGTATTTCTTGAACTTTTCAATACTTTTATCACAGGTCGTATTTTTCGCCTTTTTTGAGTACTTGTTGTATGTTTTTTGTATGCGGGTCATATCTTTTTGTATTTCTTGTTTATTTCTTTTTTCGCGGGTCATATTTGTAGTATATTTTTGGTTGCTGCATTTTTTGTTTAGAACAATAGGAAAATGGTCGTGTGTTATTCGTATTTCATGTCAGCCCCGAACTGCGAACCGGCAAAGCCCGCTGGCAAATTTTTTGACAACCAGCGAAACGTGGTCAGGCTACCCGACAACGACGAGAGGCTCCTCCAAAAGACAAGGGGGCCAGCTTTCCATCCCACCCATATCAATCCGTATCAAGTGGCAATTTCCGTGAATATTGCTTGCATTTTTGTGATGTTGTATTTGAACATGCAAAAGTCAAAAGTGTATTTTGTATTTCCCAGTCGTATTTCTTGGTATTTCCCCAAACAGTTTACTGTTAGGGGTTCCCAATTCTTTCTTAAGATGTGTCCGCCCTTTGTGTCACTGCTGGTGTCCGCCCTTTTCCGCTGGCCATGTAGCATTTCTATTCATTTGTCTCCCAGGTCTGTCACTGCTGGTGTCCGCCCTTTTCCGCTGTAATACTCCACAGGTATTACCCTGGGCGGGGTCGGTCAAAACAACAAAGGTCGATACCACCAAAAAGCCAAACCAATGTTTGTTCTTTTGGCCGACCCCCCCAAGATCCGATGAACCAGCAAGACTACTCTCTAGCAAAAAACGACCACCTACCAACAACAAACCAAACCGTTGCCTTAGAAACTATCTGCAACAACGAGGTCTCGTCCTCAACGTCTGAACACCTTCAACATGCAAAGTACTAAAACAAGGGGTTTCAAGAACACTGGAAAACACACACCCGTAAAGCGTCATTTTCTGTTACTTTTCATCTCTCAATTACAATAATGACATACTTCCAAACACATCACGCACTGAAACTCCCTGTCGAGCAAAATCAGGCGGCCCTCTTGTCTAGTTGGCCCTCTTCTCAGTCGACCAACGGCGCAGCCACCCCAGGGCGCCCTGCAGGGCCTGCTCGCGGATGTGGGTCATGCCGAAGCCCAAGTAACTCTTCACCATCACGCCGTGACTAAAGTTGATGCCTCCACAGTTGGAAGACATGCCGAACGGGCCAAACGCATGGAAACGGTATATTTAAGTGGTGAAGAGTCAAGGATGGATTGAAAGTAGGGGTCTCTGCTCCAGACATGGTGAGTTGGCCATACCGCACAGAACCCACATCTTGCATGTACTATTGGGTGATGGCACCCAAGGAACTCCATGGTAGGAGGAGAACGCGAAACACATCCAATCCTTGGCAGGCTCCTCTCACAAAAAGCCGCAGTTCTCTCTGTGCCGAACGCATTTCTGGTTCTTCGACTGACTTCGTTCTCTCAGTCGACTTCAATTGACTTCGACCCTACGGACGACTTTCGACTCGAAATCGACCGGGCTCACCGGCTCGTTGGCACATAGGTCAGGTTGGTCCATGAGGTTTTCGGTCCATGTCAGGTCACACTTTCGGCATTTCTTGCGTTGCCTTTGGCATCCGCAAGATCTTGCGCGAACAAGACTCGAGATACTTTGCCGATCACGGGGACGGTCACTGCCTTGTGTTTTTGGATTGCTCGTCGCTCAACGGATTGTGGTCTCCCAAATCGCCTAAATGGAAAGCTTCTTTGGAACCCACGCGTGAGATCACGTGAGTCATGCAATACCATCATCCTGTCCTGCACATACGCCAAAGCGCAGAAGAAATCAAGAGATCTCCTCAAAAAATTGCAAGCATCCTTGCTCCTAGTAGCGATGCCCTTTGCTACTAGTAGCTTCTTGTTCCTAATAGTAAGGCCAGGAGCGTCCCTAGTAGCGTACTTGCTCCTGAAGCCAAACGGAACTTCCTGCATGGGTCGGTCTCCCCAAGCTGCGCCTTTCTCGGCCGCCGCTTGGCTGGGCACGCCGATCCTGAGTCTCAAATGGGAAGCCACCTCCATCTCTCTACCGGCCGAGACGGACTCACCTCTCAGAGAGAATCTGACTAACAGGTGGGTACGTTTTCACTTCATGCAGTACCTAATTTTTGCTTAGCTGAGTGACAAGTCAGAGCGCTTCGCTTCCTTCAAATCCTCACTTCTTGACCAGCCAGAGGACAACAAAACCATCGAACAGTGTTTGAAGGATTCTAGTGATCTGTCTGACAAGCAATTGCGTTTTCACTTCCCTGCCATGACCGGAGGCAATCTCTTTGATCCCTTGGCGCAACACGACGCCTGAACATGGAGGCCGTAGTCGATGTCATTCTTGACTTTGCTAAATCACATGGCTTTGCCCATGTCGCCCTGAACATCTTGAGGTGAATTCTGCTCGGGAACTGCACTGCGCATACAGCAAATGTTCATAATATTTAAGTGCAGTAGCTTCCTACTAGTAGCTTCTTGTTCCTAGTAGTACGGCCAGGAGCCCCTAGTAGTGTCCATGCTCCTAGTAGCGATGCCAGGAGCCCCGTTCGTAGCGAACCTTGTCCTTAAGTTTTTTGTGGTGAATGTTGCCCTCAAACTTCGGCCCCGGATCCACTCCAAGCGGCTGTGTGCTGGATCCACCTGAGGTGCAGGCGAGTGCGACGAGATCGGTGACAAAGACTTTTGGCATACAAATGAAATAAGTAAACATAGAACAATAAACAATGAACAACATACGAGACTGTTCGACCAAACACATCATCATTTCGCCTCCACTGTGCTTTTGGCCACCAAGTTCTGGAACATCTAGCCAAACAACATGCTTCCTTCCAACTACAACCGGTGTTTTTTCCGATGCTTTTGAACCACGACTCCGGCCTAAGTCCAGTAGGCCCAAGGGCGACCCACTGCCGTGCGAAAGGAGGTTGTGCCCCATCCTGGGCGACCCGCCGTGGTCGCATCGACTCGGAGGTCCAGACTATCCCCACCGAGCAGCCTTCAACCCCAAGGCACAAACACATAGACCCCCCGTGATCCGCCAGCTCCACGCCAGGAGACGAGGGCCCCCAAAACACCAACACGTAAGAGCGTGGTCGCTTGGCGCAGTTTGGACCCCTCGCCCTCCAGCCCCTCGGTGTAGCTTGGTAACCCCCGTCTGTAGATGCATGCAATTTGCATTCGGAGAACTTCCTTGTCTGCTCGAACCTTGCTACTGTTTGATGAAACATATCCCACACCACCTTGCGCAACAAAACTATTAATACATGTTGGGCGGTGAAGTTTGAACTTGACAGCAGTGAGCGAATGCCCTCAACAGCAACATA